GTGGTGGATCCATGTCTGGGGGTGGAGGATCCATGTCTGGAGGTGGGAAAGGTTCAGGGTATGGAGGAGGAAGTTCAGGGGGTGGAGGCTCCATGTCCAAGGGGGGCAGCAGCTCTGGAGGAGGTGGATCCATGTCTGGGGGTGGATCCATGTCTGGAGGAGGAAAAGGCTCAGGATATGGAGGAAGCTGTGGTGGAGGATCCATGTCTGGAGGTGGGAAAGGCTCAGGGTATGGAGGAAGCTCTGGTGGTGGTGGATCCATGTCTGGAGGAGGAAAAGGCTCAGGATATGGAGGGGGAGGAAGCTGTGGAGGTGGATCCATGTCTGGAGGTGGATCCATGTCTGGAGGTGGGAAAGGCTCAGGGTATGGAGGAGGAGGAAGCTGTGGTGGAGCATCCATGTCTGGGGGTGGATCCATGTCTGGGGGTGGGAAAGGCTCAGGATATGGAGGAGGAAGCTCTGGTGGTGGAGGATCCATGTCTGGGGGTGGTGGATCCATGTCTGGGGGTGGAAAAGGTTCAGGATATGGAGGGGGAAGTTCAAGTGGTGGATCCATGTCTGGGGGTGGAGGATCCATGTCTGGAGGTGGAGGATCCATGTCTGGAGGTGGGAAAGGCTCAGGATATGGAGGAAGTTCTGGTGGAGGCTCCATGTCTGGAGGAGGAAGCTCTGGTGGTGGAGGCTCCATGTCCAAGGGGGGCAGCATCTCTGGTGGAGGTGGATCCATGTCTGGAGGTGGTGGATCCATGTCTGGAGGTGGGAAAGGCTCAGGATATGGAAGAGGAGGAAGCTGTGGTGGAGGATCCATGTCTGGAGGTGGATCCATGTCTGGAGGTGGGAAAGGCTCAGGATATGGAGGAGGAAGTTCAAGCAGTGGTGGATCCATGTCTGGAGGTGGCCAGAGCTCTGGTAGCTGTGGATCCATGTCTGGGGGCGGTGGTGGATCCATGTCTGGAGGTGGATCCATGTCTGGAGGTGGGAAAGGCTCAGGATATGGAGGAGGAGGAAGCTGTGGTGGAGGATCCATGTCTGGAGGAGGTGGATCCATGTCTGGAGGTGGATCCATGTCCGGGGGTGGGAAAGGTTCAGGATATGGACGACAGGGAAGCTCCAGCAGCGGGGGC